GGCCCCGGGCTGCTGATGCGGGGGAGCACCCGGTGGAAGCCGGAGGGCTGAGGAGGGGGCAGCAGTGCCGGGCACCCTCCGGCCTGAGAGGGCTCCCCCCCGCCGCCCCCGGGGCTGCCCTGTTCCCTGCAGCCAGCTTTTGGTGGGGGGTTGAGGGGAGACCCCAGCTCCATGCCCGGATCTGGCCACCCTGAGTGCCACGGCCCTTCTGTGCCACGCAGGTGCTGCTGGGGCTGCCTCGCCTCTGCCTGTCCCCCCAGAACGGCCGGGCTGGCAGCTGCAGGAGGCACCGCCGGCCCCACGGGAGGGAGGGATGCTCCTGCTGCGGGCCGGGCAGGCCCTGCCATGGTCCTGGCAGCAGCTGCGCCCACGCACCATGGCGCAGGGCTCTCCCGCGGGACCCTCCCGCAGCCCTGATATGCCATCCTTAAGCGGCCATCAAGAAGGGCGCAGCCGGTCGGTGGGATTTGGTCTGGTCCTCCCTGTGCACGGACATCCCTGTGTGTGTCTGGCCTCGCTGCTCAGCGAGTGACCCCAGCCCGTGTCGCAAGACCCAGTCCCCGGCCCGGCCCAGCGTGGCACCTGCTTTTCTGGCCAAACCAGGCTCCAGCACCCACGTCGGGGAATGCGGGTGTGATGCTGCAAGCATGGGTCACCTTTCCCCTGCAGCTCCTGCCGGCTCACAGCTCAGTCCTGCCTTGCTCCCTCATCCTGCCCGCAGCCTCGAGAAGCGGAGCCAGAGGAAGAAAGGGAGCAGTCGTGGCCGAGCAGGGGCCGAGGAGTTTGGCTCTGCAGGGACACCCATCTCCTGTGCTGCCCATCCTCTCGCCAAAGTGACCGAGGACCAAGCTAGCGTGCAGCGAGGGGACTGGGGAACAAAAAGGGATGGGGGAGGTTTCGCAGAGGCAAGAGGCATTTTCCCTAAGTGTATGTTTGTTTGTGCTCAGGTCAGAGCCTTCCCAGCCCCGGAGAGGCGCTTGCTGTGGAGCAGCTGCTTACTTTGGCCTCACCTGAGAGGCCTCAGCCCGGGGTAGAGCAGTCCCGAACACTGCCCCGTTTGTGCTTCGGGAAGGGGTGTTTGTGGCCGTCCTGTCACGGTGGGAGCAGGCGAAAGAGCTGACGGTTGTTTTGCACCCCTACCTCACATGTCTCCCTTTGCACAGGCAGGAGCCAGTCAGCACCTGCTGCGGGGGACCCTCTAAGCAGAACCCCAGCTCGTCCAGATACACGCAGAGCAGCAGGTAACCCCCACACTGCTG